AAATTGCAGGACATTTTAGATTTTGGGATTTTAGCGTGAGTGAGGAAATTTGCCCGCTAAAAGGGAGCAGGTGGTTTGCTAGGAGGGACAATACTATACGCTGTTTTAGAAGGAAAAATGCGAGTGGAGAATTGTGAAAAAAGGTCGGAGTTAGCCGGGGCTTCACTTTTCACATTCTTATCATTTTCCTACGGATTGCTTAGTTTTGTAATTTGCAAATGGCCGGTACTTTTGCAGTCCTCAAATTCGGCAAATTTGCACGAATGAAGCAGTCACCAGTATAGCTGAGAGTATGAAACTTCGCCTCCAGAGCCATAGTACTGGCCGCAGACTGAGAGCAATGTATATTGCTGGTAAGCAAAACTATTTTTTAATTAATTTGGCATATTCGGAACCCATGTGTAGTTCGTCAGACAACTTTCCTTGCTATACTCGCCAGTGCTGCATCATCTGATATTAGTGAAGGGGATGAGATTTATTACCCGTCACATTTTCGTGATTGCAATGATATCCTGCATGCAGTCGAATAATAACAACTGTTACCCACCTCCATGTATGTTTGGCTAGCGCTGGCCACGTCGGAAGACTGAAGGAGTAAAGTAAGATGCGAAGAGATGGGTATAAGCAAGAAAAAAAGAAAGAAAGATATTTACAAACTGAAATTAGCTGTTTTTGGGAAAAAACGAATTATTGACTACCTCCAGCATCTATGTTTTTATGGAACATTGTTTGCTGTATTGCTTTATCCGTTACAGCTACTCTATTTTTAGCATATCTTACAGCGATCTTTTTTTTTCCAGAAGTGCTTTCAAACTGGCTCTCATTGCCCGGGGAATTGCACTTCGAATACCCGCCGAACCGAAGTGAATTCATTGCTGATCTCGAACGAATAGTGGACGATAAAGACGCGGAAGAGGATGTGGAAAAGTCTTTTGTAGAGAAAGAACAAGAAAGTGGAGAAAGAAGGCCTGTTGCATTAGAAGTGGAGAAAAACATTGAATGTGATGGGCCACTGGATAGCGATGACGATGAAGTGCTGGAACGCGAGATCCCTCGGCAAGAAACAAATCCAGGAAAAGACAAGGTTTTCGAGAATTTTTTTTTGTTTTTAGCTAATGAATGACGCAAATAGATAGTTGGTATTAATTAGAATCGAAGGACTTGGCATAAATGCTTCCGGCGCATTGGGAGCGGATTTTTTTTTTGTTTTTAACCAATGGATAACGCATATATTAGTAAGAGGTATGCTGTTCTAAGCCCAAAGGCTTGGCATTAATGCGTCCAGCATATGGGAGCATTCTAGTAATACCACAAACGTGGAATCCGCACACCGGTTGCCCTGGTGTCCTGATATTGCCATTTAGCTTTAGATATCGTTGAGATGCATCCCCAAATGGATGCTGTTGAATCCCTAGCCTATTCCCTTGAACTTTTCTTTTTCAAATTTTTCAACTTGAAAAACATGAGCTTTTCCAACTTTTCGTCAGTCCACTTTGTCCATCTGTTATCTCCCATTCTTGCCTGCAGTAGCCGTTCACCTTTTCGTTCTGTCGTATATTGTTCCGTTGACTTCATTCATGCAAGAAACGACCACAGTACTAAAGAATATCCGTAACTTGCTGGCACCTATCACACGTTGTTTTTTGACTTTTAGTTAACTTTCCTCCCCAATAATTGTATGGTTTGTGTACAAAAATTCTTTAAATTGAGTTAAAGAAGTTAAAAAATTTAAAAAAATTAGGGTTTGGAAATTAAAAGAAGTTTAAAGCAATTGTTTAAAATTTTAAAAAAATTAATTAAAAGTCCAGAAACACAGAATCTTAAAAATTTGTAATTGAACAAATTGTTTATTGAATTTGTACAAAACTATTCATAGATGCTTTTTCGTGAAATTAACAGTTGTCGATTCGTTATCTGGCTGCCCTTCTCCAGCTATCCATCTGGCAGTTTTCCCAGCTTATTTTTCCAGTGCTGCATCGCCTGATGGCCATTCTGCTGTTTACAGTGCTGACTTTCGCTTATACTTCTCAGTTTTGGTTTTTAGTTGCGGAGGAAGACAATAATAATCAAATTTATTTCAGGATTTAGATGACGAATTTCCTTACCGTCATGTGGATGCGCCACATTACATTCGGGATTGCATCGAGCAGCTCAACGAAAAAGAGGACTATGCGAAATTTGAAGCAGCTTTCCATGCACTAGATCCATTGATCAGGTTATTTGTTTGTGAAATGTTTCAATTTTTTGGAATATTTTAGGGTTTACTGTTAAAATCAGAGAAGGCGATACACATGGTGCGGAAGGGAGGAAGGATGCCAAACATTTAGTTTTCTTTTTCATTAAAAAAAGGAAATGGAACTGGAAAATTAACGCATCGAAAACGATGGTGATGGAAAAATGCCGGTATACCGACAACCAAATTACAGATATACGGTGTTGACTTGGATGAAATTAACAGCTATGTCTGACTTGACCAGGAATTATATGCGCCATAATCTCCAGACGAAGTACACACGTATAAGGGCTGAAAACTGATGCAAATTTTACTGCATTGTTATTGTCTTCAAAATAGAGATTATTAATAATGATACATATAAATTACGAAATTATCGAATCGGAAGGACTGCGCTGATCTAATCAGTACCGCTGTGCGTAAGCCAGTGACGTACGGATGCGAAACATGGATTACCGATGAAAGTAGATTAGCAAAAGTCGGCTGTGACGGGGAGAGCAATGGATCGAAAGACTGCGGAGTGTTTCTTCGAGGCCATGTAGGGATTTTAGTTCTTCATCAGACGAGTGATGTACATAGTATGGTTGCGATGAAGCTAGGAGTAAAATCTGATAAAATAGGGCATGTTGCTTGCCGATGAGCATAGCGTATTAGCGGGGATATTCGCGAAGAAATTAGCGACCACTTGGGCGAATTTCGAAGAGTGTACACACACAAGCACACACACACAAACATACACACACACACGCACACACATACACACACATCAAGCTGGTGATAAGTACTAAGTGGAAATATGCAGCTTATTGGTCAAGGTTAGCGAGAATTTAGCTCGCAGCAGTACGCAGTACGTAGAACCTCATTTTGATTGTCCGAGCGATTTTGGTATTCTTGGTATAAAACTTGTTTCAGGCGACGAGCTATTGGTTATGACGAATCGGCGAAGGAGCTGTTATGGAAACTTATCGAACTCACTGATCGCTTCCGCACCGAAAATTTCCAGGTATATGCGCGTTTCACTTCCACAGCTTATTCAATGATTGCTTTTTATGAACATCGTGAATTTTGCCTTGCTAAGGTGTTTTTTCTATTTTTTCTTTTTTAGTTTATTGAATCAAGATCACTGTGCAGAGGTTCACATAGTTTTCTGTTGGCCTGTTTACGATTCGTTCAATTGTTTTGATGATTGAATTGGTACCAGCGTTGGCTGGGATGTTAACCCAACATCAGCTTGCTTTTATACAAGCTTCTAATGGAAAAATTTATCGGTGGACATGGCAGTGAGCGGTTGCCATTGGTATTTAGTCCATATTAGTTAATCCCGGGCATCCCACCTTTGGTAATGAGCGAAT